TCTATGAATGCACCATGAATCCTAAGCTTTGTGCTTGCTTAAGGGAATTCCAGTGCTTGAGCAGCAGATGTCATGACTATCTTTAGAAAATCTTGAAAAAACAGTTCTGGTAATCAAACCATGTAGAACTCCAATGAAGTATTTTGTTTCTGTGCCAGTGAATATGGCACTTCTGTGCCATTTTTGGTGGATAGGGAGGGAGCAAGTTTCTCCAGTTGTCTCTGTAGGGTTTTCCTCCTTGTCCCACTCTGATGTAGCTGACTCCTGTTAAGGGGTGTCAGAAGGAGAAAAAGTACATTTGGTACATTGTTCCTGTTTTGCCTTTTCTTTGTTCTTCCATTGTGCTTTTCTTTTGTTCTTCCTTCTTCCACCTTGCTTTAAACTGAGCAGAAAGTTCCTACCACAAAGGTCTTGGAGACAGGAATATTTTGCAGGAAACCTGTGCTGGTCACAGGGTGTGGAATGCACACACTGGTCAGCCACTGAGAGATGCAGTGATTTGTGGTGCCTCTTTTCTTAGCTTGTAGAAGAGAGATGAAAAGGTTAGATGGGAATTCAGGGAGGTTGGGAAGAAATGGATACTTTGGTTAGGGGAGTTGGTTTGGGGAGAAGAAGCTGTTTTGGATGCGGGACATGGTGTGTAAAAACATAACTGAGATTAAATCTCCTGCTTACACAAGCTGTGTTTTGGTTTTGCCTGCAGGTTGGTGAACTGGTTTCCTGACATGCCTGCTGATGTTCGATGGATGCAGGAGCAGCTTTTTCGGATTGCTGCCGCAGTTTATGCCCAAGCTAAAAGCAAGCTGTTCTGTGCAGCCAGGTAAAGTGCAGTGCTGCTGCATGTAAATGATGCAGTTTTAGAAATTCTCTCTTTTTCAAATCAGTTAGTCTTTTCTTGAATAACACTAGTTGGCTTTTGGGGCATCTCTCTGAACAAAAATGTAACTCTTGGTATATATTTGCTATTCGTCCTACTGTCCTCTCCTCAGTTACTTGATAGCACATGTAATCCAGTGTCCTTTCTTCCTTCTTAGTGATATTTCTGATTCCTTTCCACAATTGATATCTGTAGGTTGGGTATTAGGAAAAAAATTTTTCACTGAAAGAGTCATGAAGTTCTGGAATGGCTTCCCAAGGACGTGGTGGAGTCACCATCCCTGGATGTGTTTAACAAAGGACTGGATGTGGCACTCGGTGTCATGGTTTAGCTGAGGTGTTAGGGCATGGGTTGGACTTGATGATCTTGGAGGTCTATTCCAACCTAGTGATTCTGTGAATAAATTTGGGGATTGCCAGCTTCCTGCTTTTAACCCTTATTTAGCAGTCTCTCATATTCCATTTTTACCAATCCTGAGTCTCTTCATCTGAGACAGGCTTTGGGAAGACCTAGAATCACATGTTTGTCTCAGAAATAACTTCTAAGAGGGGTTCTTTGCTCATTGCATCATGATTAAACAGAAACATGTTTTTTTTCTGGTGGAAAAGCAGCTCAGACAGTGTTGAAGTGTCTGTATATGACAAGTTGAGGTATTTTTGCTTGTGAGAGGGGTTGTGGCATATTGTTTTGTTGGGTTTTTGTTATTTGGAGTTGTTTTTCTTTTCCCAAAAGCACTGCAAGAGAGAAGAGAAAACTTTAAAAACAATAGGGTGTTTTATCCAAAAACTTTCGTTTCCCGTTTCTCAAATTGAAAAGGGCTAACCTGGTGATTCAGGTGCTGGTTTAGAGTGTAGATAAATTCTGTCCCAGTTGTTCAGGTTGGTGATAACAAGCTGATTGTAAAGTGGAATGCAGAGATGGCTTTTGGGAAGGTAAACAACTGTATTTATTACTTGTAAACATGACAAAGATGCCATTGAAACACTAATAATCTTCTTTTCATTCCTTCTTTTTTAAACAGGAAAGACAATTATGCATCACTAAGAAAATGTCAAACTGTCCCATCTACAGTGGAATTTCGTTCTTCATACTGCCACCTTAAAATGCCTCACTCCGCTGCACACATTGAGAGCTGGCTCTGGCAATCTTCATGCTTCATGCACTCAGCTATGAAAAATGCTCCTGCTGATATCCAGGAGCAGTCTGACTTAAAGTTCTATCCTAATTTCCTCCCAAATCCCGATGAGTCTGCATTGGAAATAGATGTTGACTCTTCCTCAGAGACAAGTTTCCAAACTGCTCCAGAGTATTAATAGGAAAGTAGGTTCCACAGTTTCCATAATTGAAATTGGGCAGAGAAAATGAAAACCTAGACTATGGATCATTTTGTTTGTTGCCAATAAGTCTTGGGAAATTACTGTTTACAGCTTCCTGACAAATCTGCCTTGGGACTCGTACTGTTTTAAGGATTATAAAAACAGTGGCTGCTATATTAAGTAACAGATTATAGCTCTGTCAAAGCATCAGCTCAATCAGCTGTACTAAGACTTGTAGTTAAACAGTGTCTCTCTGGAAATAAATCTTTTTAAAAAATACTTCCAGCATAAAAATGAAAATTCTGTAAACAGATTGTTAGAAAAACAAGCATAGATGACAGAACCTTTTTAAAAATGTAATTCTTAAAAATATTATGTGTTAGGATTACTTTTATAGCACTTAAATGAAATTGGATTTTTACTCCCTTAAGAGGAATACACAAGTGGGTTTCTTAGTGGCCTCCTGTGTCCATTTGCCTTATATTTAAACATACTGTTGTGTTTATGGAAAGTTGTCTGCACAAGATACTGTAGGAACAGTATTACTCTAGGTTGTTATATGTACTCTGCAGTTCCTATTACCTTTCCTCTTTCTCTTCTGAAATACTTCAGGTGGAAATGGCATGAGAAATGGGACACCTTCCCCTGAAGTGTAAACAAGTACAGTTTCAGTGACTTCAGAGGACCTTTTTTTTTTTTTTTTGGAACTTAGCACAAAGGCTTGATCAAGTATTGAAAAGTAGGTAAAATAGTGACTGTGGTTAGTAGCAAGCAGTATGTGGAGAAGGTGTTAAACTTTACAGAAGATGTTAACAAAACTCAGTGTTTAGCAAGTGGTGAATGATGTTTAGGTTGTCTCTCTAATTGTTGCCTGATCGTTTTTGGTTTTTGTTCCACTCCAGTTTTGGTGATTTTTCTTTCCTTCTTTCACTTCCCTGTTGCTAAAGGAAGAAAGGTGTACCTCCTGTCTCAGTGAAGTAGGATTACCCAAAGGAAGTTTCCCAAGATTGTCAGGCACAGCAAAAGCATAAGGCTTGGTGGAAGTATCAATATTCAAGGAGCTCTGCAGAGGTCTCAGATAATAGGTAGAAAATTTAGCCAAATCATACCTCTATTGAGAAATGGCAGCTTAAACCATTTCCACTACAAAGGTTCTGCATGATTTGAACAAAGACAATGCATTAGTGGATGAGGGCATCTGGGGAGGAAAGTGATGCTAGGATTAATTGCTGTTCTCATGGCTTATCTGGTCTTGTGCAGTTTTTGAGTAGAAGGAAACAATAATGGCTTTAAAATTGATTTGCACATGTGTTTGGGGGGGAGCATGTGACCTCAGGAAGCTTCTCATTCAAAAGAGGGAATTCTGTGCAACCCAAGGGGAGAGCTGCTTGAGGGCCTCTTGTCCAGGGAAAGCGGTTGGATTGTGTTGCTCAGGAGCTGGGGTGTGGGAGTGTGAGCTTTGGGCAAAAATTAGCACTTGAATTGGGCTTGCCTTTCATACAGTCTCTCAGTTGTGATTTCCCTAAGCTTGGAGTGCTGCATTTTATGATATTCAAATGGATTTTAGGTTGTGGAGGAAGTGCTGAGCTCTCTATTTCCATACTCTACAAGGCTGGTGCTACTTTACTTCAACTCTTCTGTTCATTTTTTGGGTGCATATATCATCAGACTTGCAAAAAAAAAGTTGGAATTGTTACTCTAACTACAATTAAAATATACAAAATCTGTTTTAAATTGTCTTCATTCATTAATTTACCAGTTTGTTTTAGAATTAAATCAGGAATGCCAAGTTTTGCTTCTAGTCTTTGTTGGAATACTTCTGTTAACTACATGTAAATCAACCTTAACCAGTTTTTCTCTTGGGCACAGCTCCCATTTTGTCTCCTTTTTCTAAAATAAAAACACAGTCTCTGTTACCATGGTCTCTGAGCTTTCTTGAGTGTAATTCACCATAGTGCAAGTTAAATCAGAATGTCTTGATGTCATTAATAGTTCTAAGGTTTGTTTTTTTTTAAGAGTACTACTCTTGAAGTTTGAGAGATGCTTGTGCATAATCTGGCTGGACCTGAATGTCACCTCAGTTTGAAGTTCTGTGTTTTTTCTGTTTTTTTTTTTTGTTTTTGTTTTTGATGGGATTTTTGCTTTCTGCAGTCAGTTATTTTACAAACACCTTGTTGCATTTAAACCGAAATAATTAAAAACCAGAGAAAGTTGGGTGTGAAGGGATAAAACAAAGGGTGTGTTCTTTCTGAGCTAAAACTAACTTAGCAGATAACTAAATATAAATGAACCTATTAAATAATTTGTTCTATGAATAATAGATGCGCTAAAATATTTCTATTTAATATAGATATTTTAAAACAAATATATCAGTTATGTAAAGTATAATATATAGTAACTATACTATCTATAAATATATAATACAAATATAAAAATGAAATACAGAACTATCTAGAGATAATTTAATGCAATGTAAAATAATAATAGTAGTTATAATAATAATAATTACAATACCAACAATTATAAGTAAGTTAGAACACAAGCTTTCAGTTTCGAGTGCCCAATCTGCTTCCCCGAGTTTGGGGTGAATCCCGTCGGTTTCGGCTGACAAACAAACCCACACGTGAGTTGGGGTGAATTCATGGGTTCACGGTGAAACAAACACGTGTGTTGGGGTGAAGCTCCAGCGTTTGGGTTGAATTCCCGGGTTTGGGCTAAATCCCGCGGCTTTACGGTGAATTCCCCGCGTTTGCTGACCCCCGGCCGCAGGAAGCGCTCCCCTGGCCCCGCCCCTTCCGCCGTCCCGGCCAATGGGCGCCGGGCGGGGCTGCCTGTCATGGCCGTCCCCGCGCTGCGGCCCTGAGCGCCCCGAGCCCGCCGGAGCCGCCGAGGCCGCGCACGCGCCGCCAGCACCGCCACCATGGGCACCGTGCACGCCCGGGTGAGCGCCGGGCCCTGGGGATCGGCCGGGGCGGGACCCG